TAACGTTTAATCCATTTTAGACTCGAAATTGATTTTGACACCAATGTGAAAAGAGTTAAAAACAAATTATATATACAATATATGTGATGTGAGTAGGTCGTGACAAGTGGTAGGTAAAATCTATAACCCTTTTAAATCTTAAAAAACCTTGACAGCCTAAATATCATATAAAGATAACAATAATAAAAAATAAAAAGAGTTACTCAATAACACTAAATTGGAAATCACCATAATTTACCTAATTAAAATTAAGTGTTTCATCATGGATGACATACTTTTTATCTTGCTTTCACCCCTCCATACTCACTCTTTAAAATGTTTCTATATGGTAAGAGATGTTCACTTTTTAACCTAATTAACGGGGAACACAATCACTCTTTGGGTCTAGCATCTCACCGACCTGACCTTTATGAACTTGCGAACGTTCTTCTCATTTTCTTTATTACAAATTGATTATAATATCAGTACGAAATTAATGCAGAGCGAATAATAATAATAATATAAAAAAAAGGTTGACAGCTAAGTTTGGTCTATTAAATATTTTGGTGCACAAAACCCCATGTTGTTTGTCTTGGTGCAAATTGTCCTCTAATCATCTATTTTGACCAAAGAAAAATCTGAAATTACCCTCATAATCTGGTTAAAGCTATCGCCGGCGAGGACCATTTCCGGCGAGTCAAATATAGCTGAGTAGTACTTTAGTGCGAATTTGAATCGGTTCAGAAAACCCACCCGGTTCAACCTTGCTTTATACTCACCGAGTGTTACAATGCTTGGGTTTAGCGATTTGGCCAGTTTCAGAGTTGTTTTGACGCAGACATTAGTCTCGGCGAGAAGGTTATAGAGCTGAAGCATGAAATTCATGGCCAATACCTCATCGGGTTCGACTCGAAAACTCAATCCGTTTAGCTCCTTTATGGGTGTAAGAACCCGAACGAACTCGAAATCCAAACCCAGAAGCTTTGCGAATTCGAGGAGCCGATTGCCGGTGGCGCACAACGCCGCGCCGAGAAGTACCCAGTGTTGAAGCTGGGATGCCGGAGATCCAGATTTGGGTAGGTTTTCCAGCAGGTCGAGTAGCGAGAGCTTGCAGAAGAGCCGCCCACTAAACGCCTTGAACGATACCAAAATCCACGATGTGAATCTTCGTTGCTTTCTCAGTGGCTTCGAGGATTGCTTGGTTCGCCGTCAAATGGGCGAATTTGGAGTACGGACAAGCGTCGTTGAGAGCTTTGTATGACAGCATGAGTTCATCTGCTATAGAGAGCTTCAGTGAAGTAGAAAGGACAGTGGAGAAAAGGAAATAGAGAGGAGAGAAGATGTAGTTGTGGTGTTGGTTGCCTGTAAAAAGGGTAATTTTGAAATTTTCATTAAAAATTTGGTCAAAATAGATGATCAGGGACAACTCGCAACAAGATAAATAGTAGGAAATTTTTGTTTGAAATAGTGACCTAGTTACACACACAACATTATATTATTTAAAAGAGAATAAAAATGGAGGAAAAATACTTATATTTCACTTAATTGAAAATAAGTACAATATATGAGTTTATATAGGCTTCAAAACATAAATGTAAATGAAAATTAACACCCAACTAACATAATATTTAGTAAGTATAACTTCCATTAACCCACTAACATGACCATTACTGATTGTAACTCTCATGCCCCCCACTAACTCTAATAAAAGCTCACATGAATATAAAATTAAATATCAAATAAAAAATACCCATAACCTTCAAAGATATTAAAAATTATAATCAAGCAAGTTTAATTTCTAACCTCCCCCCCCCCCCCCCCCCCCCCCCCCCCCCCCCCTAAACTTGATTTTTTTTTTCAACTCCAAGCAAACTCCTTAACTTGTGAAATTTTGCAAACTTGAGGGGCTTGGTCAAAATATCCACAATTTGATCTTGTGACTTGATGAACTCGAGCTCCACCTCCTTGGTTATGCATTCTCTAATGAAATGAAATATTGTATCAATATGCTTGTTTCGTTCATGAATTAATACCGGATTCTTGGCCAAAGCAATTGCTAATTTGTTGTCCACAAAAATCTCCGTTGACTCTTCTTGTAGCATGTGCAATTCCTTCAACAAATTCCTCAACCAAATTGCTTGACAAACACATGAAGTGGCAGCAACATATTCCGCTTCACAAGTTGAGAGGATGACAATGGGTTACTTCTTTGAACACCATGTAAAAATATTATTTCCCATAAAAAAACAATAGTCAGAAGTACTTTTTCTATCATCTAAATCTCAGGCTCAATTGCTATCACAATAACCCATAAGTTTGAAATCATTAGAAAAAGAATAGAATAACCCAAAATCAAGGGTACCTTTGATGCAACGAAGAATCTTCTTAGCCATTTATTGAGAATTTCCTAAGCATAGCTTTCTTGGTAAATGAAAATTCCATCCTTCATTTGCTTGACCTCAATGGCAAGATAATAAGCCATGATGCCAATGTCCGTTATCTCAAACTCTCGAGCTTTAACCTTCTTGAAATCTTTAAACATTTTTGGATTGCTACATGTGAAGATTAAATCATCCACATACAATCAAACAAAAAATATATCTCCATTCTCACTTACTTTGGAGTAAAGAGCATGTTCATATAGGCACTTTGAAAAATTATTGTCTTGAAAATATTTGTCAGTCCGCTTATTCCACGCCCTTGGTACTTGCTTCAAGCCATATAAAGCCTTCTTCAATTTCAAGACTTTGTTTTCTTGCCTCTTTACAACATAGCCCATGGGTTGCTCAACATACACCTCTTCTTCAAGAAACCCATTCAAGAAAGCCAATTTCACATCCATTTGGTGGGTTCTCCAATTATTTTGGGCTGCCAAAGAAATTAACAATCTAATTGTTTACAAATGAGTTACAGGTGGAAATACCTCATCATAGTCAATTCTGGGCTTTTGGTTGTACTCCTTGGTGACCAATCTTGCTTTATATTTTTCAACGTCACCACTTGCATTCTTTTTTGCTTTATACACCCATTTGACACCAATTGCCTTTTGCTCTTTTGGAAGTGTAGCAAGCTCCCATGTGTCATTATTCTTTATGGATTTAATTTCTTCATCCATAGCATTTTTCCATTTTTTTTGTCTTGTGCCACCTTTTCAAATCCTACGGGTTCACAATCCGCAAAGAGGCAAAAAAGTTTTAGATCACCTAACCTTTCCGTTACCTCATCCGTTTCGTCATATATGTCACGAAGACTCCTCATGCGAAGTGGTGGTGTGTCACATGAACTTGATGATGATGGAGTTTATTGATCTTGAATTGATGGTGGTAGAGGTGATGTTGGTGGAGAAATGGGCTGTTCCATGCCTTCATTTTCTTGCTCCTCATCCGAAATTGGAAGAATATTATAATCTTCATTTGGAGTGTTCCAATCCAATGTGGCTCCCTCTTCGAATTCAACATCTCTACTAATGACAATCTTCCCATTGCTTGGATTATACAACTTGTAGCCTTTGGAACTTGCATCATAGCCAATGAACACCATTTTTTCACTTTTGTTGTTTAATTTGGTCCTTTTTTCATGCGCCACGTGAACATGGACAATGCTCCCAAAAACCTGCAAATGAGAGATACTTGGCTTTCTTCCGCTCCATGTTTCTTGTGGTGTTTTGTTTTGCACACTTCTAGTAGGACACCGGTTGGATATGTACACCGCACAATCAACCGCTTCAGCCCAAAATTCTTTAGGCATTTCCTTGCTTTTCAACATGCTTCGAGCCATATTGAGAATGGTTCTGTTCTTCCTTTCTGCAACTCCATTTTGTTGGGGTGATCTTGGAACCTTTAAAGGATGGTGAATTCCATTTTCTTCACAATTTTTTTTGAAATTATTTGATGTGAATTCACCAACTCTATCAGATCGAAGAGCCTTTACATCATAGCCACATTGTTTGTCAACAAGTGCTTTAAATTTCTTAAAAATTCTATACAACTCCGATTTTTGTTTAAGAAAATACACCCATGTTTTTCGGCTAAAATCATCAATGAATAATAAAAAATAATTATTCTTAACAAATGATGATGGAAAAATTGGACCACAAACATCCGAATGGATAAGTTGTAGTGGCGCCGTAACTCTTGTGGTAGCTTCTTTAGGAAAAATTTTCCTTGATTGCTTTCCAACGAGACATCCTTCACATAATTGATTTGGATTGCTAATGAAAGGCAATCCCTTCACCATCTTCTTTTTGGCCAACAATTCTAATCCTTCAAAATTCAAGTGCCCAAGTCTCAAGTGACAAAGCCAAGTTAAATCATTAAAATAAGACTTCAAACATTTAGCCTCGTCGGCTTGAATATTTAGCAAAAACATCCGGTTCTTTGTCATTGGAACCTTGGTAATCAAATTACCTAATGGGTCTCTTATCGAAAAACTACAATTCTTCATGAAAATATTGTAGCCTTTTTCTAAGAGTTGTCCCAAACTCAAAATATTGTTCTTCATGTTAGGCACATAATAAACATTAGAGATAAATTGATGATGCCCATTCCTCAAACGAATCAATATTTTACCTTTCCCTCTTACCGAAATTTGCGATAAGTCTTCAAATGTCACCTTGCCATTTATTGATTCATTAATATCAACTAACTTCTCTCTGCTATCCCACATATGGTTGCTAGCACCGGTGTCAAGATACCACACATCTTCTTCACTCCTTTCACCTTTGTAGGCCAACAACAAAGTATGTTCCGCTTGTTCATCAACATAATTAGCCTTTTCTTCAACATCGTTAGCAACATTTCTACATTCCAAAGCATAATAACCATACTTTTGACAATTATAACATTGAATTTGAGACTTATTATACCTCCTCTATATGACCTTGAGTAATTTCCTCTACCACAACCTCTTATTTGTTGTGAGTCATGGACTTTTTCTTCATTGTTGGTTGTGTGTTGACTGCTTTTTTCTCCTCTTCCACGGCCTCTTCCTCTTCCACATGCATTTCCACGCCCTTAGCACTTTTAATTTCCTCCATGTTTTTCATCTCTTTCGTTAAACGAAAACTTTGTTTGTAGCACTTGCTCCAAAGCTTCTTGTTTCTTCACCACATTTTCTTCATAAGCTTGCAATGAACCCATGAGTTGATCAACAGTCATGGAATCCAAATCCTTTGACTCTTCAATGGCTACAACAATGTAGTTGAATTTAGAATCCAACGATCGAAGGATCTTTTCAACGACCCTTGTATCAATCATGGTGGTTTCGTCATACTTTCTTAGTTGATTTACAATAGCTAGGACCCTTGAAAAATAATATGAAATTAATTCAGATTCCTTCATATGCAATGCTTCAAATTCACCTCGTAACGTTTGGAGGCGAACATTTTTCACTTTATCAGCTCTTTGGAAGGAATTTTGAAGAATCTCACATAGTTGCTTTGCATTTTCTACACGAGCAACTCTTTGTAGCATTCCATCATCCAAACATTGATGAATGGTCATCACCGCTTTTTGGTCCTTCTTTCTCATGGCTTGTAAAATATCTTTTTCGGCTTGAGACAAAGTTGTTTCATCTTTTGGCTTATCATAACCTTTGGAAACAATTTCCCACACATCTTGTGCTCCCAAAATTTCCTTCATACGGATACACCAATTTTCATAGTTATCTTTGGTGAATCGAGGCATCTGAAATGGAACCGAATTGTTTGCCATTTCTTCTCTCTCTCACAAACTAGCTCTGATACCACTTTATTGAAAATAGTGGCCTAGTTACACACACAACACTATACTATTTGAAAAAGCATAAAAATGGAGGAAAAACACTTTTATTTCACTTGATTGAAAATGAGTACAATACATGGGTTTATATAGGCTTCAAAACATAATTGTAAATAAAAATAAACACCCCACTAACATAATATTTAGTAGGCATAACTCCCACTAACCCACTAACATGACCATTACTAGTTATAACTCCTATGCCCCCCACAAACTCCAATAAAAACTCACATAAACATAAAATTCAACATCAAATAAAAAACACCTATAACCTTCAAAGATATTAAAAATTATAATCAAGTTTAATTTCTAACAGTTTTGTGCACCAAAAAATCTAATAGGGGATTTTTTTTGTACCTTTTGAATACAAGAAAGGTGTTTTTTGCACTTAAACCTAATAATAATAATAATAATAATAATAATAATAATAATAATAAGCTATTCCAGAAAACCAAATTGGTAATCACCATATATGATTCACCTTATTAAAATTAAGGGTTTTATGGATGACATACTTTTTATCTTTCCCCATATGTGATGGGATGCCATTGATGGTGGTTTTGCTGCTCACACCATAAGCTTAAGAGTGTGCATTAAGGCTAAGGCCAAGTTTTACATTTATAAAAGCCACTACTACCTTCACTAAAAATATAGTTAGGGCAAGTGGGGATCGTTCCAAGGGATTGGAGTCGAATTTGGTTGTGGAATCACAATTAGGGTTAGTAGGTCGAGTGATCAAACAAATAGTTGGCTGGTTGATTAAACTAGAGAACAAATTAAACTAAATATTTGAATGCAATAAAGAGTAAGTAAGAGAGATCTTGGAGTTTAGAGGTCACCACCAAACAATACTTTTCTACACCCTTAACAAGTGACTAATGAGGGAAATGTGTGTTGCAATATTGATGTGTGTATGTGTTTGGTTGAATTAATTAGCAAGGAAGACCAATTAAGTATATATTGTCTAAGTAACATGTGAAAAGCACAATATATCTAACAATTAAGTATATATTGTCTAAGTAGCATGTAAAAAGCACAATATATCTAGCAAGTCATTAATCCTTTCATTAAGCTCACAAGCCAAATACATCACAAGGTTAGAAACATATGTTACTTGCATTCAAAAGTATGGAACATCAAACAACAAGCATGGATTGTCCTCCCATCTAACAACTATACTACCACTACACTACAATTAAGCTAATGATATGAAATTAAACTAATTAAGGTAAGGGAGAGGCACAATCCATCAAGCAATGAGCATGAACCATCAAGAAAATTACAAGAGCATTCCATTAAGCACTATGTTTTGACAATCTCTAGATCTATGGCATTAATACACATAGACATGGATCAATAACACAAGAAATAGAGACAAACACATAAACATCTATTCTAGCATACATAGATATATGGATAGAATGAAATGATTAATTGGAAGCATTAAACCACATAAATCCTTGAATAAACAAGATCTATATATATAAAAGTGTCAAAACATGTATTACAATACTAATCCCTCAATAATACACAAAATTAAGATGTGGAAAGCATGCTTGGGGCTAACTCTAGCCCCAAGAGGATGTCTAGCCACTCATGGTAATACTTCTCCAACCGTCAAGGGCAAACTCCATGGAAGAAATCTACTCCTTGGTTGATGAAGAGCTCCCAAGCTTGTGTCTCTAGCCTTCTCCTCATTTCTTCCTCCCTTAGAATAGCCTCTATTGTGATAGATGGATCCTCTTCAAAAAGTGTATCATATTCTATATATAGGTAGGTCAAGTGACACACAAAATGAGCTGGGGTTGTGCACAAAATATTCCCCAATGATTGGATAAGGACAGCTTTCAATGAGCTGAAAATTTAACTTTTTCGCACTGGAGGAAGTTCGATCAATCGAACCTTGGACTTGGATCAATCGAACATAGTTGAGATCTATCGAACTAAAGTTGGATCAATCCTCAATGGCGGCGCCTTTTTGGATAAAAACAAATCTGAGATATTTCGAAGATATTTTTGGGAAAAGGACAAAAGTGGTTGGTAGGGTGGTACAACTAGATAAGATCAATCATTTGGATAATGACAAGGTAGTTCGATCGATCGAAGAATGATGTTGGATCGATCGAACTTTTGAGATCTCTGAAAATGTCATCATGGCTCAGATCCACCTTGAAGTGCTGAGATCGATCATGTTGGATCGATCAAACTTTGATCTGAGATTGATCGAAGATGTTGAATTCCAGCTTTTGCTTCCACTTGGCGCCTTTCTTTGATTCATCCCAGAATTGCTTCATTTTTGCTCTTATTTGGCTGAGTTAGCTTATTTTTGGGATAAGTGCCTGAAAATGGAAATAACACGAAATCAATCTAAAACGGTAAAGTAAGATAGATAAAGGTACTAGAATGCCTAAGCTTAAGGGGTTTAAATACACACTTTTCAGCGCTCATCAGCCATCATCATATATATATAATGATTTCATCTTAAAATAAAATGTTGTATTTTTATTGTTGAAGGCAAAAAAAAATTACGTTCTTATCTATTAGGGCTTGAAAAATGAGTATATATATTCAGACGCCCTAGCTCATTTCAACTCATCCTTTCTTGAAGCCCTTCCATGGACAGCGTGTTTATTTGATGAATTATATTTTTTCATTCATATCATTTTATGAATTTTACAGAATATTTATAGGCTTGATTATAGACGTAATCCCTAGAATCAAGCAACACAATGTCTAAAATCTTTGACACACCTAATTTAAACATTTGACATTCTTGACATCTTTGAATTTGTTAATTCAACACTCCCCGTCAAGTTGGTGCATAGATGTCCCATATGCCCAACTTGTCTAAAAACTTTAAGAATACTCGATTTAAGACTACTTTGGTGAGAACGTCAGCCAATTGATCCTCTGATCGGATCTTATGTAATTCTATAAGCTTTCCATCCAACTTTTCCCTAATGAAAAATCTGCCTACCTCAACGTGCTTTGTACGTTCATGTTGAATTGGATTATGTGCGATGTCACATGCTACTTTATTATCACAAAACAGTCGGATAGGTTGTTTAAATAGATAACCCAAATCCCGCAAGAGGTTTCTCAGCCATAATGCCTCACAAAGTACATTTGCCAAACCTCTGAATTTAGCTTCTGCACTTGAGCGAGCTATAACATTTTGTTTCTTGCTTCTCCATGTCACAAGATTACCTCCTACGAAAGTAAAGTAACCAGAGGTAGATCGCCTATCGTCTGTGGATCCAGCCCAGTCAGCATCAGTATATGCAACTATACTTTGATAATCAACATTTTTAATGAACAAAATTCCTTTTCCAGAAGCAGATTTCAGATACCTCAAAATGCGTATAACTGTATTCATATGTTGCTCTCTAAGATCATGTATAAACTGGCTAACGATACTCAATGCGTACGCCAGATCCGGTCTTGTGTGTGTTAAGTACATCAATCTCCCTATAAGTCTTTGGTATCTTCCTTTATTAGTAAGTACTTGGTTGGACTCGACACATAACTTCGGTCTTTCTTCCACTGGTGTATCAGCTGGTTGACATGCTGTCATACCTATCTCTTATAATAAATCTAAAGCATATTTTCTTTGAGATATAAAGATCCCTTTATTAGATCGAGATACTTCAATCCCAAGAAAATATTTCAAATGACCTAGATCTTTCATCTCAAATTCTCTGGACAAGTAGTTTTTGAGAGCCTTCATTTCTTTAGGATCATTCCCTGTAACCACCATGTCATCCACATATACAATGAGTGCAATGATCTTACCCTTTTGTTTCTTCAGGAATAAAGTGTGGTCTAAATTGCTCTGATGGTAGCCAAAGGTTATCATAGACTTTGTGAACCTTTCAAACCATGCTTTCGGAGATTGTTTCAACCCATATAATGATTTCTTTAACCTGCACACCTTCTGACTATGCTGTTCGGGTATTATGCATCCTAGTGGGAGATCCATTTAAACTTCTTCGATTTACTCACCATGTAGAAAAGCATTTTTTACATCAAATTGTTGTAATGGCTAACCCAAGTTTGCAGCTAAAGATAGCATGACACGAACTGTATTGATTTTGGCTACAGGTGCAAACGTTTTGTGTAATCAATCCCATAGGTTTGAGTGTATCCCTTTGTTACTAGTCTTGCCATAAAGCGTTCTATTTTGCCGCCAGCCTTGTACTTCATGGTGTAAACCCACCAACATCTAACTGGTTTCTTCCCTAGTGGAGGATCAACTAGTTCCCATGTGTCATTTTGTTTCAGAGATGTCATCTCCTCGTTCATAGCTGCTTTCCATTGTACTGACAACTGCCAACAAGTGTTGATTTTTCCGCTCGGCCACCCCATTCTGTTGCGGTGTGTTGGAGCAAGTGGTGTGATGAATCATTCCTTGTGCTTCCAAATAACGTTGAAATTCAGTGCTCTGATATTCTCCACCATTGTTACTACGAAGAACTTGAATCTTTCTATTGTACTGAGTTTCAGCCCTTTTATAAAACTGTTGGAATATCGAGTGCACTTCACTTTTTGAATTCATTAGGCAAAGCCATGTCATCCTGGTATAATCATCAATGAATGTTGCAAACTAACATGACCCACCCAAAGTAGTGACTTTAGATGGTCCCCAGACATCAGAATGAATAATCATAAAAGGGAGTGGACTTTTGTTCAATCGTAATAGAAACGAAATACGATGGCTTTTAAGTTCACAAACATCACAATGAAAACTAGAAACATCAACTTTGATAAATAAACTGGGAAATAATTTTTTTAGATAGCTAAAGGAAGCATGCCCAAACTGGCGATGCCATAACTATATTTCTTTCCTTTTGGTATCTTCAGAACCACCCATTGTTAGAGCTAGTCGTAGACTTTCGGTACTCTTTGAGTCTAAGTCCAAGTAATACAGCTTCCCCTGCCTAATAGCACAACCAATCGTCTTCCTGGTTTTGATGTCCTTAAACACACAAAAATTAGGCCAAAAAATTACAAAACAAGATAAGGTAGTGGTTATTTGAGAAATTGACAAAAGATTATAATCTAAAGATGGAACAACTAAAACAGAATCTAACTTGAATGTATTGTTTAGAGTCAAAGATCCTTCCCCACTAACTAGGATCGAAGTTCCTTTGGTAGTAGAGACAAATTTTTGTGTGGAGGGGCAAAGTTGTGAAACCTGTCTAGAATCATATGTCATGTGATCTATTACACTAGAATCAATTATCCATGCATTATTCAAAACAGGTGTAGAAATATTTTGAAACTTACTATTGCTTGTAGCTATTACCAATGTTGAGGCTTTGCTAGCAACTTCATCTTCCATCTTTGTTTGGACAACTGCTCTAGTGGAAAGCTTTTGTTGATTTTTCTTTGCACGACTAGGATCCCACCATTCTGAATATCCCACCAATTCAAAACAATGACTTTTGGTATGACCAGTTTTACTGCAATGAGTGCATTTGTAGGAAGACTTGTTAACACCATTAGTTGGTCTACTATTGTTGGGTTGTCCTCAATCTTGTTGACCTCGATTAGATCGCTTCTGGGCCTCTCGTCGAACCAAAGAGTAACACTCATCCAAATGTGGCATTTTTGTTTTTGTTTTTGTTTTTTTTTTTTGATAATATATATATATGATATTTTAGAAGAACATATACATGTTCTATATATTAGAAGAATAAATCAGAAGGATTTCTTGGATAGCAAGACTCGGTAAAGAGAAGACGAACAGGCTGTAGAGCTTGGCCGTGAGCTCCGATTGTGGAAGGCGACCGACGATGGTGCGGCGGTGGTGGGTCATCCGCAGATCGGCGACTGGTTTGGGATTTTGTTAACTGTCCGACTTTGTGAGGAAGGGCGGCGGCGTGACAGATCTGGCAATGGTTCACGTAGTTGACGTCGATGACTACAACGACATCGACTCGATCTCGTCGGTGATGAGTGATGACGACAACGAGTCTTGGAGGCGTCATTTGTTTCACTCGTCGTCGGCGGATCTAGATTTCGCTGTGGCGAAGCTGAATTTCGCGGCGGCGTATGTGGCATTCAAATATTTCAAGAGGACAACAGGCTTACGGGCTCCTTCTTCGGTGGTGGATCCTTGGTGTATGGCAGCGGCAGAATGGAATCTTGTGGGTTGGTGACTGGAGATCCGGTTTCTAAATTTTGTGATTTGCAGAGAAAGGGCAAGTTCTATTGATCACAGAGAGGTGATGGATATCTGGGTTTTGATTTTTGAAAGGGGAAAAAAAAAACATTTAGAACAATGAATCAAATGGGTTTTTTTTAACCATGCTCTGATACCATGTTTATTTGATGAATTGTATTTTTTCATTCATATCATTTCATGAATTTTACAGAATATTTATAGGCTTGATTCTAGACATAATCCCTAGAATCAAGCAACACAATCCCTAAAATCTTTGACACGCCTAATTTAAACATTTGACATTCGAAACATCTTTGCACTACAACAGTTTCAGCTTTTACCAGCACTCAAAAACGCTGGTAAAAGCCTTAAAAAGCGCAATTACCAGAGTTTCTGAAAAAGCGCTGGTAAATCCAGTGTCGATAGGGCTTTACCAGCGTTTTTAAAGCCTTAAAAAGCGTTGGTAATTCAATTACCAGCGCTTCTGAAAAAGTGCTGGTATATCCAGTATCGGTAAGGCTTTACCAGCGCTTTTAGAAAAGCGCTGGTAAAGACCCTTTACCAGCGCTTCTAGAAAAGTGCTAGCATAAGGTATTTACCAGCGCTTTTTGAAAAAGCGCTGGTAAAGGGTCACCATTTTTATTTTTTATTTTTTATTTGGTGGTGGTTTTGGTTTTGGTTTTGGTTTTTTTTCTTTTCCTAAAGAAACCCATTTATAATACATGTTTATATATAAAAACAATTATCATCCAAATGTCTACCGATTAACCTGCCAAATATGAAAATAACATCCAAATTGCATGTCTACTAATAGATAATGTTGTACCGAACACCAAGTTTTTACAAAAGAACTATACACAAAATGAAAAGAATTTTTCACAAAAGTAGTAAACACAGCCACGAGCCCATCTTCAAAATTTCTTTGTTCTAGCTTCAACTTCATCTTCAAACTTCTTTAAAAACACTTCTTAAACATCGTTACCTTCTTCAGAACTGTTCGCCCTTACAATGGACACGTGGAAAGAGAAATTGAATTAATATGACATGTTTGTGCTAAACCCTCTGATAGCTTCATTCAAAGATTGGTAAAACAAATATACACGAGTGACATTATTAGAAAAATTACCTCAATTTCTTGGAGTGATTTTCCTTTCATTTCCATCACATTCCTCTTCACAAAAACCACAGCTATCAAGCAAAAGGTAGCGAAGATTGTGTAGAGAACTTGTGCCCCAAGTTGCTCCAGCAGGCGCAGAAACAACAAATCGACAAAAAAATTTATTAACTGTTGAAGATGCCAATTTCTATAAGCAAGGAATAATCAGAAGTTCAAGATATTGAAAAAGACACAGAATTCATCCAAACCCTAGGCATATATATAGATAGAAGCATTCCCAAAGAAAAAACAAATTGAACTTCATCTTAATGTATTATATCCTGATGAATGACTAAAACTTGAAACCATTCCAGATACTGTTATAGGCTGAACAAAAAGGTAGGAATGCACAAATATAACTTAAAATTCTAAAACGAAAGTAAATGAAGCATGGATATTCAAGAAAAGAGAAAAAGATACCAAACCATATGGTCATTAATACCATTATTTGAAACGCATACAAACTTGAGTTTACCTGCTTCCTCCTGACAAATTCCAAAAAATGACTTTAATCAGTGAACAACTACATGAAGAAAATTATATAGAACTTGATCATAATTTTCTGAAATAGGAAAAGTAAGTGCAAAAGCTTCATCACTTGCTTACTAAAGAATGTTTTAAGATGTCTTTTACATGCCAAGACTTTAAAACATCTTTTGGGTAGTTAAAAGCAACACCCTGATTTAGTCAAATTGGTTATAAACTAAGAAACTGTATAACAAACACGTGCAAATAGTAGTGGTAGAAGCCAAAGGACAAAATTGACTGTTTCTGCTCAATTAACATAGGAATTTACCACTGATAGGCAGAAAAAATGTCACTGATAATAACTTTAATGAGGTGGGCCGTGCATGTAGTAGAAGAGGTTTGTGCTTATCACGGCCAAAATAATAATACGTTTCAAGCCTAACAAATTTATGCCTAAAACAATTTCCTAGTATTAAGTTTCCCTATTGCCAAATGTATCCTAACATTCATATTATGTATTCTAATAACTAAGAATATTGCGAGCACTTACGAAAAAAAAAAAAAGTTCTCCATTACCTCATTGAGGCTCATTCAACATTCTATGCAGTTCGTCCCTAGCCTCAACCACACAGTCCGGATCATTGCTGTCAACCAAAAAGATATGCCCGTGTGTTTTGGAAGTAATGTCTCCAAATAGGTCAAATCTGGAACAACACGCATATATGAGATGCTAGTTGGAAAATTCAAAATCTAGAAAAGCTAGAAAAAAAATTGGATAACACAAAACGAGCCAAAGATGGCATAAGATCAAGCCTTGGCAACTAATCTGATACAAAATCAGAGCAAATAAAAAAATTGTTCAAAAAACAAGATGTAGACACCAATTAAATTTCAGGATCCGAGCAAATGTTCTCATTTTTAATTTGTTGTAGGAGTTTGGAATTATCAAATTTCCTGTTTTTAGACTCTTTCTTATCAATTTTACTGTTCCTTATCCATTTTTTCCCCAGAAACTGTTATACATCTTTCTTCCCAATTTTATAATACAATGTTAATAATTTGAGAAGCATTCAAGTATTTAAGAGGTTAGATAATAACTGCCTATCACATCAAGCTATATATAAAAGAGTAAATTTTCAACACACATAACACATATGCATCATCAAGGTTATAGCCTCCACAAAAATTTGAAACTTAAAACATAGAAATATATATCAAAACATAGAGCATGCTTCACAAAAATTATTTATGATAACACAGATAAATTTGGAACTTCAAATCTCCAAAGTTAGGGACATAACCTTTGACAAAATTTTCAGAAATAATTTTCAAACATAGCCCATCATCACTAACCATCCTCCTTTTTCAACATCACAGAATATATATCAAAGTATTCTTAAAATCGCAGTCCCAATGATCAAATACAGGTTGATAGTGATTTCTCAATTTTTCCACAGTCTTCATTATCAGAGTTTCATGCTTCACAATATTTGTAACATGGCAAAACATATATAAAATCTCACATAACTAAAATCCCGAATTCCCATTTCAAAATAAAATTCCAAAAATCTCCAAAACAGTTTAATTAACCCTTCCTTCAGAAATTTTCAAACATGAACTCATATATATATTTATATGAATGACAGGGGAAAGATGCTTACCCGAAAGATAGAGAGAAGAGCAAAGGAATGAAGAGAAAAATCCGAGAGAGAGACCAACACGAGAACGATGAGATGACAGCCTGAGATTTGCCGGAGAAGATGACCGAAAATTGCAGTGGTGGATGGCGGCGAGATGAGAATGTTATCTCTTTGGCCAAGGGTCGGCCGGAGACGAAGCCGATGGAGAAGAGATGAGATCGAGAGCGAGAGGCCGAGGTTTAGCCAGAGATCTCGCCGAAAAACCCATAGCAGAGAGCTCGAATAAAGAGAGAGGGGTTGGCTTCAGTGGTGGTGTGAGGATATGGGGTGGAGTGATAGTGATGGCTGTGGTGCAATAGGTTGAGAACGATAATAGAGATGGAAGCGATTGGGGAGTTGCAGAGAGAACTAGAGGGGGCAAGTTCAGAGTTGAGACTGAGAATAGAGATCTGGTGAATGGGAGGCTGAAGAGAAACCTAGGGCTCGGATGAGATAAGGTTAGAAGAAATAAATGGAAAATAAAAAAAATAAAAAAGTGAAATAATGTTAAAGCGCCAATTTTTCCCGCATTAAATTTCAGACTATTAGCCCTATACCAACGCTCGTACTAAGAGCGCTGGTGTTAGTTCACCTATACCAGCGCTTTTTAAAAGAGCGCTGGTACGATTGCACCTATACCAGCGCTCTTTAAAAAGTGCTGCTATGATTAAAACCCTAATATGGTGTAGTGTTGAATTCCTTAATTCAACACAGCGGTCATGGTTGACCCACACACCACAAATTCTTCTTCAGATGATCGTCCAGCCAGTTAACTCACAGACAACTCTGTCAGGCCAGCCCCAATAATGAATTGGGTTGGCCAACTTCTTCGTGAAGCAGTCGTTGCCGTCTGGTCGGCTTTACTGCCACTCATTATCGGCCTGACAGCACTGTGGACTGGTAACATGTTTTTCGTTTCTTTAATGTTTGTTTTCTTCTTCGTGGTTGCCTCTTTGTTTCCACCAAACCTTGCTTGGGTCCCATGGACCTGCTTGTTGCCGTCCTCGGAGCCTTTTTAATGACCTGAATTTCGATCTTGGAACCACTCAACAGAGAAGCCCTTACATCCATCTGGTGGAATCCTCAGCACTTTTTATTTTTTTATCATTTTTGGGTCTTATATATAATCATTTCTTTTTTCATGAATTATATATATATATATATATATATAAGCATTTTCTCTAAAAAGCTAAATTTGGATCAGACATGAATCAAGCTTGGAACCAGCCAACTGAGAAGCCCTTAGATCCATCCAGTGGAGGCCATCTAAGGGCTAGACACCCTTCTTCTGCTAAGCACTACGGCCTTGTTTTTTATTTTATTTGATTTTTAGGTCTTATATATAACCATTTTTTTTTTCATGAATTATATATATAGATAAGCAATTTCCTTCTGAGATAAGTAAGTTTGAGTCATAAAGAGGCATTAGCGTAGTTCCTATTTGCCAAAATTGCATGGTTGGTTGATTTATTCAAATGGGATTGGAGTAATGTTCATGATTTTGATCAAATTGATGAAGTGATTTGCTCTACAGTACTCTACTGCTCGATCCAATTTTAGTAAGCTGTTGAAGCTAAGTTTCACCGATGCAATCTGGCAATTATGGTGGAAAAGAAATCAAAGGCTCGCCAAATTATTTGGGATATGGATTTTGAGGATCTGGGGAAAATGTTTGGTCTCGAGTGTAGTTCATATTGTTTGTGTTTGTTGGTTTTGTTGGGAGTTCCATTTATGGGCCTTTTCTTCTCCTATTCCGGCTGCTTGCCAACTTTTGGAAGTGGGTATTTTAATTTGGTTGTAACTGGGATCCTCCTTGTTGTTTGTTTTGGGAAATGGAAGTTTTTAAAACTTATGAGGGTTTTTTAAATAAAGATATTGACTCATGTGTAGAGACAAGTTTTATATATGAAGAATATGATGATCCATTCAATTTAGGGATAGAAAACTTATATTAAGGTTTGAGTAAATCTTAGATTTTTTCTCTAAAGTGAATGTTCTCACTTATCGTAAATCCCTTTGCTAGATACATTCTCATTGGATCTCCATCTTGTTGGTAATGGTCTTGCCTTTAGGAATCATCCATAAGCCTCCAAGAATGACCTTGGAAAACTAAACTTGTGGGAGACTCCATTAGATGAGAACACTAACCCTAAAATTCTAGAGAGAGAAAATATTTTCTTGTCCTTTAAAATCATTTTACAAAGTGTAACCTAAAATATACATAGACTCCATGTATATATAGGCAACATAATAATAATTAATGACCTTATATTTTTCTCAATCACTAAAACTAATGTGATATTTCAAATCTAATAGGATTCCAATATCAAGTTGGGCTATGAGTGAGAATCCTTTGGGCTTATTATTTTATTTGCTACAATGAATTAATAATTGGCTCGATTCACGGATCCAATTAAATTAATTCATTCATTAATTTCTACTCCACTAAAAGAAATTCATTAAACTCCAATTAAATAATACATAACATCTAAGTCAATATTACACTTTGACTCCTCTATGCATAATTAGTTATCAGATAAATAAAACTATCAATCCGACTACTTAATTAATATATTTATTTTGGTACCTTTGATTATTTCCGGCTTGATCAAAATAAAACATTTGTTTGACAAAAATAATAATTTAAATAAATATATATATAATAAATCATTTTGTCTAAAAACACCTGAAGGCTTTCGAATTTACTTTGTGATAAACCATAATCAATACAAAATAAATATAAGCAACAATGATGCAAATATTGAAAATTTAACTCTCTAACTATTAATTACATAATTACCCAAAGTACCGGTCTAAAGATTTCAAAAATTTTGCCGAACAAATTAAAGTAATTACTAATTAAAAGAGTCTATATTTCTCTCATACTTAAGAATCAAATGTCATGACAGTGATAGGAAGTAATTGCATACGACGATTTACACAATATATCTCAACCTAACGCGAATCCAGTTCAAGTTTTAGTTAATAATGAGTTCATTCATAATTACTAACTATGAACAATTTATGATTATTATTTATATTCATGTATTGATCTCCATCACACATATATATAAATATCTCTTGTAAACAAGTGGACAATATCAATTCTATAATAAATCGAAACATAATATATTAAATTCACCAATTATATAAATCATAAATATTTCAAATATGTTAGAACATATATCACTATAATCTAAATAGGAATTTGCTATGCGAGGGCATAAAAATCCCAACATTTTGCTATATAATCAAGTAATTGGTTAATAAAAGTATGCTTAGGAATATATATATATATATATATATATATATATATATATATGAGTCGTAGAATAATGCTTGATCTTGGCATGGTGGCTTGAAAAGATGGTCCGATTTTCATTCACCCAATGATATATATTGGAGTCATTAAAATTAAAGATCATATCTGGTTTGAAAACTGGTACATGCATGATTTTATGGAGATATGCAATTTCAATCTCTATCTCGATTAAAGTCGATCCCACAATTTGAATAACATTGTAAGAATGGTAAGATTCAACTCATGATTCTACTTTCTTTTTTTTTTGGTGTGATGATTGTACAGATTTAATTATAAGCTCTTTTAATTCTTATTATAGGTCTTTAAAACATGAAATCCAAGTGACATTAAATACAAAGATTAAGACCAATCAATCATGAGACAATTATTACAATTTCATTTTGTCTGATAGTGACTAAATAACTACTTTCTAATATGGTTTAGACTAGTCAAATCCCTCAACAATTATTTGTCACAAAATTTCTAATTAAAGCTAGTAGAAGTTAGACAATTGTTTTTAAACACTCCTGTAATTCTCGGTTTCTTTCAACGTAATACGGAGTATTAACATATATGTATATGTGTGTGTGTGTGTGTGTGTGTGTGTGTGTGTGTGGTTAAAGAATAAGCTTGTGTATATATTAAGAAGACTGTTGACTCCCTAGCCACAAAAGAAGTGAAACCCTAGCAGCAGCAGCATCCAAAATGACCACCATTTGCTTTCATAGCATGACATCAAGGCTAACATTGTTAGGAAAGTAGCCAGGACCGTCCAGAAGCTATGGAACAACCTGCGTGAAGAGAAGATGAAGCTTTGACAAAGAAGTGATTTGCCTCAGGTTTGAACTACTTCTTAGTTTAATGGTAGCAAGTCTAGCTCTGACACAATTCTTGACTTGAGAAATAATGTGATGGGAAGAGGATGTTTGGTTTCTAAATACCCTTACATTCCTCTCTATCTAGATAAAATAGATTATAGCAGACCATAGAAGTTTATGAATCAAATACCCTGATGAACTCCAATGTGATGAACACCACTGAACCATATCTAACCAACAGTAAGGCATAATGTAAAATCCAGCTTCCCCTTGGATAACTTCCATATTTGAGCACTGAACTTACATTTAAAGAATAAATGGTCAATGGATCCCAATCTGAGTGAAAGAGATAACAACAGTTTGTATAATGCTTGTAAAGTAGTGGTTTAGGATCAAAATTGTACAATCTACCTCTTATAGTTAATCAAAGGATAAAACTATTCCTATGGATATTATCTTTGGATGAATGACATGTTATAAATTATTTGACTGTTTCTCTTCTAGTTATTTCTCTTCTAGTTATTTCTTTGCTCTGATCATTATTAATTATTTTGTCAATTTGTTCCAAAAAGGGGGAGAACACATTGGTTAATTAAGGGGGAGAAAATTCTGAAAAATTGGATAATTTATTCAAGGGGAGTTTTTATAAATTGTTTTATTAAACTTTTATTGTAGTTTGCTTGATCCATGTGCAGGAATTCAAGTAAAATTTTGTTCGAGAGAAGAAGAGAACAAAGAAGAAAAATTACGTGTAATTCTTTAACAAAATTGTATTTTACTTTCCTGCTTGGGTAGTTTACATAATTGTTTTTAAGGTTTTGTTATGAAATTGCCAAAGGGGGAGATTGTGAGATATTTGTAATTGGCAAATTTTGATATCAAAACTAGTCCTGATCGAGTTGTAATTTCAAGTTACTATATCAAGATCGACATCGACTACGTAATTGAAAGGTTGTTCGATAATGAAAAATTGAGATAATCAAAATAGGGAAGAATAACACTTTTAGGAAGTCGTTTCCCACTTAGGACACAATACCTATGTGGTGTGTTTTTCGAAATTACCAAAAATAGAGTTTTCCAAATTCTATTTGAAATTTGTCAAGTGGGAACTGGAACCATATTTGGGAACCGGTTCAAGAACCATAACTTCGAAGAAAAACATTATGTCCTTTGAGAATCGGTTCCACATCTGGCTACTGGTACCACTGTTGATACAGTTTAAGGTAACTTTGTCCTGTTTTGTTTCAAACTTCCTAGTTAGTTTAGAAAATTATCAAAAGTCTTATGCACGAAATTTTCTTTATTTTATGAAGGATTAAGTCTTTGAAAATTCTATATAAACCTTGATATACATTTAGGTTTAGTACGGCTTTTGCAATACAACTTCATAAATCCTAAAAGCCTTAGAAAGATTATTTTTACAGAAAATCCAAGTTAATTGATTTCTCTGTCATTCTTTCTAGAACATACACATAAACAATAGAGAGTTGTTCAAATTATGATCATGATCAAAGTCTTGCATCTACAACGATCAGAGAAAAACAGATCTACTTCTACCTTGAATTCAGATATTGAAGAATAGAAATAAAAGCGATCACACTTTGAAGGAGTCAAAACATTCAAAGAGTGTTATTTGATCTACCTGCAACCCTTCTACAGAGATCAAGAATAAACTTGAGGTCAAGTACTATTGGACTGGATGTCGCAAAGCTAGAGGATTGTCAACTATTGGTGTTTAGTAGAACGATAAGGTGCGAGTCTAAATCAAAGTTTAGTGTACTTTATTTTAAACATAGTGGATCGGTTTACTTTAAACTGCACAGTCCACGAGATTTTTCTCATGCAAATAATTGGTCTATTTTACCAATTGGGGTTTTTTCGCTAAAAATAGTGGTGTCATCTCTAAGTTTATTACTTTACTTTATTTTATCTTGCATATGATTAATTATTTAATTGATAAAATAAGTAAAGTTAGAAAGACACAAATCTGTTTATAAAAGTATCAAACTTTCTAAATATTTCGCTAGGTACAAACTCACATCAACCTCCAAAAGTTGAGGGTTATATGAGTAACCACATGGGTATTGCAACTGCTGTTGCTATGGAAACAATAGCATGCCCGCGACCATGGCTAGCAATTGTCGGATATCCCTTGGCAGGTAGAGACATAGCCATTACCGTGCCAGTGAAAGCGAAATTGAGAGCTAATACAAATGCAGTAAAGGAGGAAGGTTTGTTCTTAAAGATGACGGTTGGAACTGGGTTGCCATCTATATTTTCATATTGCAGTTGTGGAAGAGCAAAGACAGTCACAAATGCAACTCCAAAAATCACTTCCTCGAATGAATTTATAAGAATCATCTTAATATTATATACCCAACTTCTTTCATTCCAAGGTGTAGTAATCTCTTGGGGGCTGTATTGCCTTAAATATTATGGTAGCATTAAATCTATGGCCAACAGATTTGAACTTCCAGGAAGATCAATCCATTATTTGCTTTCAATGCTATGATTGAAAAATGGCACTTTGTTATGAGAATTATTAGAAAATGTATGGTGGAAAGTTGCTGACCAATGCATTCGGACCACCAAACTGGTTCTCATCTTTCTAGGCTACGTCTGATTTTTCCTATATGTTACCTTCAAATGAATCTTCGTTGATTGCTACATATATTTTTTTCTTTCTTTCGGAAAACTAGTTTTCTACGTTTCGTTGATTGCAACAAATATTAATTATGAACTTTTACAATACGTGTATTACACGTCATTCCATGAAGTCAATCTGTGACTCAGCATCTATATAGAAAAGAAATCATTTTTAAAACATGTTCATGAACTGAAGTACATGTAGTAGTAAGTTCTGGCATGTTAGTACGTGGTAGTAAATGTTTGTGACCATCAGCAGATAACACCATGTCCAAGTTACGTTTTTAGTCTACATAGTTAGGTATGATTAATTTATTCTTCCTGAGAATAGTGGCAAGTGCATGGAACGGATTTGAAAATTTGAATATGAAATTAAAACAAAAACAAAAACAAAAAAATATCAACCACCAAAAATTGTAATTTAACTTCTTCACTTCAAAGTATTAGCAAATTTTTTTTTTTTTTTTTTTGAAAAAAAAAAGATTAAACAAAGATACACTCACACTATATATATATATATATATATATATTTGCATCGTATTCTAATTTTTTTTTTGAAAAGGAGAGATAACGCCTTCTAGGAAGGAGTGCTGAGGGGCACCACATGAACCGTAGTTAGTTTAAGTCCGAAATGCTTAAATCATGAATAGGGGATCCTCCTGTGGTGGGGAATCACATGCAAGACTACATCATGTGCCTCAAGCGCTGCCGTTTTGATGCACAATTGATAGTCACTCCAAAACTTAAAAGAAGGCATTCTTAAACCTATTTTTAAAACCATCGTTTATTCTATTTTAATTTTTTACAACATTTAATTGTCTATTTTATTTTCATAACACATAAAAAAAATATTAATATAAGGAAGGTAATATACTATTATATTTTATTATTATTATTATTTTTTGGTGCTCCAATTTTATACATTTATTTCTATTACATTCTTCATAAGCACAATTTTATACATTTATTTCTATTACATTCTTGGTTGAAATAGGTTAAAAGTAAGGGTGGTTTATATTGTAAATTGATATGGTTGTCTGCCTGATTTCAAGTCAACACTCGTCAATGCACAAGAAGTCAAGTCACCACGCGTTAGTCCAGGTTGACCTAAGTCATGACTTGTTCCAAGTCTAAATTTTTTAATCAAACAATAAGAAATTAGAGACAGTATGTCCTTTGAGACCACCACCGAAATTGCTTCGCATGTTCCTGTTCGAGCTACTATTTTTATATAGCATAGTCCTGAAGTTCGCATTTACACAGAAGTTCGAAAACCAGAGTTGCAGAGTACTGCTACTGATTGTAAATTCTGGAGTAATGAGGTAACAATTGTAATTAATCTTTTTATAGAATGTAGAAGATGTTTTTTTTTTTCTTGGTATTATTAGGTCAGTCATTCTTCAGACAATTAAATGGAGGAAAATTCTACCAGCTACTGTTGGTTGTATCTCGGAGCTGAGAAGGACCAACTACACGGGCATGTAATGAAGGAGTATCATCAGTTTCAAAATATATGACCTGTTTTTCACCTACATGTCTGTCAATCTCAGGTTAGTTTCTTGTATTTAAGGTCTCCTTGGTTTTGTTTCGGTTATTTAACAAGTGTTTTATAATGTCTAAGAAGTAATAGCTTTGGTACACGTTTTGTTTTCAGTGTTTTTAGTTTTTGTTCATAAATGATATTTTTAAACTAATCATTATGTTTTTTCAAACTTGCAACTGGCACCTTAGAGTTTGATTATGGAAGGAAAATATAAAATATAAAAGAAGAAAGAAATTAAAGGTATTTGAAAAGTAAAATAGAAAATAAAGAAAAAGTTAAGAGATAGTTTTAGAAATGCAAAAATTTAAGGAGCATTGTATAAAATTTTTCATATAAATATGAAAAAAATAAAATAAAATTTACCACATATATTATAGAAGGCAGAGCTAGGCCAGGGGGCACGTGGCCCCCCTAGAGCTACATTGGGTCCGTCCCACAACAACACAAGCATAGATCCGGTCCGTCCCACAACTACACAAGCACAAATCGGGTAAGTTTAAAAAAATGCTATAACCCTTTTATCGAGTAGGTATTTGGTGCGCTCGGTGCTGGGCTAATCATAACCGTATGTGCACATCATTTACGGCTCTGATTAGCCCGGTACACTAAATATCTATTCCCTTTTATCCCTCTGGGACTAATACTGAATTTGAGTTAGGCTGTCCACAGTAGGACAAATGTATGGCTTGTGCTACATATATGAAAGGTTTAAATTTATAGCCTCTGGGTTGAAAATTTTCAACCCTAAGATTGGGCTTCATTTAAGTTGTCAGAACTCAAATTCAAATTTTATTTTTTAAAATTTTAAATATATATATATTAAATTATGATTAAGCTTTTCATTTAATCTTTCTTTCCTAACGCTTTCGTAGTCCCGTGATTGGGTTGTTTCCCGTTGTTCTAACTTTGAACCTCGACATCTACTAACTTTTAATTTAAGCCATGAAAAAAAAAATCATCTTTCTTTTGTTCAAAAATCTTAATTTATTGTATTAGTTCCCTAAGAATTTGTTTACAAGTGTTCAGATTTTTTTTTATATACGTTTAGGATTAACTTAATTCCAAATTAACTCGAGTTTAACTTTATTTTTAGTTTGAAAAATTAAAATCTCAAAGCATTAGCCCACCCAAATTTTTTTTTTTTTTTTAGCTATACCCAATTTTAGCCTAGTCCAAACAAAAAAAAAAAAAAAAAAAAATTTATTACTAGTATTAACTTACCCAAATAAATATTAACCCACTCCATTGATAATTTCTGAATCCGCCCTTATTTCAAAATCTATTTTTCTACAAACACACATGTATATGAGTGCAATAGTGTAAGGTTCTTTATTTGCAAGAACTCGATTGTAATTTTGAGCTTCTCGTGTGGGCTCATTTCTGGGCCTGTACCTTGGGCTGAAAAATTTTGTATGTTCTGTATTGTGGACCTGTGGGCCCTTTTGTCTTGTGGTTAGCTATTGCTAGCCTTTGTAATCCTCTCTTTCTTAATCAAATTTAACTTTCAAAAAAAAAAAAAAAAAAATGAAAAAAACAAAGAACTGGATTGTTAAAAATGGATCCAAGTCGACCGTATTATAAGCTCAGGCTATTTATTTTATACAAAAAGAATAATCAATCACTCTCAGGCGCAGCTAGTGTATGCCTAGGGTCGCAAGCCCCTTACCTGACCTGCTTATATTAATATATGATTATTTTTTTTATATTATATATATGAAATTTTTTATATAATGTCCTCGTTACAATAATAATAATTTTTAACTAGACAAAAGTTTTCAAATTTAAACTAATCAAAGGTCGCCTTCAAGTTAAACAAGGGGACATGCTGAATATGAATATTATGCTTGAAAATGACATCTTATCATGAAAAATTAAATTTCTACCAGAACGCATGATTCTAGATGCATTGGACAAATTAACTTTAATAATTAGAAAAAAGAAAATGTTCATTTAATAATTACTAATTATTAATTATAAGTACCAAAATGGATAATTAGTGGTTCTATTATCATTTACATGATACATCTAAATCCTTATATTGTTAAAAGGATAATAATATTACTATTTCAGAAATTGACAAAACCTTCCTTTAATTCATTGAAAAAGATTAATAATGCCCTTCGGTTGATATATATGTATAATATATATTTTTCTTTCTCACTTTCAAAATACAAAAGTCATACAAGTCCTTATTCAATTTTTTTTTTTTCATTTTTATAAATAATTATTTTGTTTGTCAAAATGAAATATAATTAAAATGTTGTGTTCGGTTCTATAAAATTAGTATTTTTTAATTAAAATTAAAGAGAAAATTTATTTTAAATTAATTTTTCTCTAATTTTAATTTTAAGAGCATTTGAGATATTTCAATTTTATATATTATAGTGGTCTTTTAAAGTCTACAAACTGAAACTTCCAAGAAGCTGCATTGTTGCTAACAAAATTGTCAATGAAAAATGGCAACTTGTAGCGATATATATATATATATACACACACACACACACACGGATCAACCTTCTTGCTGGACTAGAAATGATTTTTCCCATATGCCTTCAACTCAAAACTTCCACGAAGCTTCATTGATTCTAGATGGCATTGATAAAAAGCTATGAACAATATTTTATAGGGTAATTAGGTGAGAATTTTTACAATAAAAACATAGTTAATTGTTTAAAACTTTATTGAAATATTAAAAATTATTCTTCAAGAATAGCTCAGTTCACACATAAGGTGGATCTAGAAGTCTTGTCTTCAAGCATGGGAATGTCGAGCCTCTTACACTCAAAGTGTCTGTGTCGACATATATACCTACCTTATCCAAACAAAATAGAAATTAAAATTTGCAAGTTTTATTGTAAGCTGGTGTTAATAAAATAAGCGAAAGCATTGGGACTTTTAAAAATCTCAATATATTCTTTTGAATTAATTAAATAAGTTACTCTGAATTATAAAAATAAAAAATAAAAAATAAAAATTGCATCTGACGGTTACTCCCCCCATTACAATTTTTTTTTGGTTGAGTAGGGTTTTTGTGAAATTAAACTAAAGGTCAATTTACTAACTTTCAAAAGACATTTAACAGCGACTTATGTATTAGAGATACTCCATCAATGAAGTTTCAATCATCAACGCGATCCTCGACTAATTCACTGCAACATTTACATATATAATTTTTCAATTATAGCACCAATTTATGTAATTAGTTTTTACCATTTTTTATAGTTGATTGTATTATATAATTAGGATCTGCCTTTATTTATTTATCTTATATGGTATCAAAACTTTTTGCTCAAACGAGTTCTTCAATGGCCGATAACGAATCCTCTTTCAATACCGTCACCCGCTCTCCTTCCTTCTCAAATATTGTTGTTAATCCTCTAGGATCCAACAATTCTCTTATCTCCATTAATGGTGTAGCTCAAGCCCCACTAAAACTTACTCCTTCTAACCACACATCTTGGAGAGCTCAATTCGATCATATTCTTATTGGATATGACCTTATGGGTTATATTGATGGAGCTCTACCTTGTCTTTCCTTTATCCTCAAGGAAAATGGAACGGAAAAAAGTTAATACAAGTTATTCACTTTGAATCCGCCAAGACAAACTTCTCTTTAGTGCTATATTGGCTTCCTTTCTGATAAAATTACACCATTTATTGCTTCCGCCAAAACATCACGAGAAAGCATGGTCAAAACTTGGCACGATGTATGCCAAACCATCCCGTGGTCGTGTCATGGAGATTAAAAACAAACTGACGAAACTCTCGAAGGACACCCAAAGTGTGACTGAATACATGCAAATCATCAAAAGTTATGCTGATGAACTTACTCTCATTGATGCGCCTCTCAATGATGAAGATCTTGTCATCCGTGTACTGAATGGACTCGACCCTGATTTCAAAGAAATCAGTGCAGCTGTGCGGGCCAGAGACAGTCTAATCTCCTTTGAAGAGTGAAGATGCAAGAAATTCATTCTTCTTTTCTCTCTCTAGAACTCTTACACTTCAATAGAAAAAATCCCCTTCCTCTATCCATTACTTCTCCTATTTATAGATACTTACAAACATTAATGGACTGCTAGATCTGGGCCCGTTCCTCTGTGAGTTTTGGTCATCTTTGATGGGCTATTCGCGTTCGGCCCATATGGCAGTGTCTCTCTATGGGCTTGACCCATCTGCACGGATCGGATGTCGTGTTCGCGGGTCATATCCGGCCCATGTCACTTCGGGCCTCCTCAACTGCCCCCATAATTACTCCTTGTTTAATAAGGGGGTAATTATTAAAGGCGTCTCATCATGATGTTGACGGCTCGAGAAACCCTTATGGGGGAACGGACGATCAGATCCGGAATCAATGTTCCGAGGTTCGATAAATTTCTCACCTCCCTGACGCTTCGGCCCTCGGGTCCACTTCGCCTTTATAAGGCTCTAGAATGCCACTTCATGCCTTTTTACCGTCTCCATCATCAGTCAAATCTCTCGCTCATCTTTTTAGAACAGTGCTAAATTTCATCCGGTGAAATTCTTCAAGAGTCATTCTTCCAGCGATCTTGCAGTGCTCTTTGTTGCTTTCTACCCCAGAGGTTAGTTTTATTCCTTTTTTACTTTCGGCAGACTTCTTTTTACCCTTTTAGACCCTTCAATCGCTTCCACCATGGTTGTAGATCTAGATGTTCTTCGTATGAGACTTAGACTTCCTGACAACATCCAAGTTAGGGTTTGCCCTAAGGATGTTAATATTATGACCGGTGCCGGCCTTCTTCCCGGCGAGGTTTTATTTACAAACCTTCAACTGAATGTCGTTAGGGTCCCTCTGCATCCCTTCTTTAACTATGTTTTCAATAGACTGGGGATATCCCCCCTGCAGGTAAACCCCAATTTCTTTAGAATCATATCCGTTATGTTACTGTTGATTCGTAACAGAAGTCTGGACCTTGACCTCATAAATCTTCTTCTTTGCTATAAGGTCAGTAAGATCCGAACTGACGAGCCATTCTACCACCTCTACCCGATCGACAAGATGTCCATATGTACGGATACAATCAAATCTGAAAAGGGTTGGAGGGATAACATTGTGGGTGTTAGTGGGGCCTGGTCTTCGCCGGCTGCAGAGGATTACCCAATCCCGAGCGCCTTTGGCGTCTGTTCTGTCTCCTCATATAAGAAATTCAAATCTCATAAAAATGATTGTCCCTGCGAAACATGTGTTCCTCGCTTTTGTACTTTCTTATGTCGCTCCTTAGGCATACCTTGTGATGACTTGAGCTACAGTGTTTGCAGGGATAGGAGTAATTACTTGAAGAAATACGTTCTGAACGATATTCCTTCTTGCTCAGATCTCCTCACTTCAGACAACCTTCTAGCGCTCTCATCCCTCGGCTATACCATGAGCAGGCTTCAGATTCCTTCCTTTGGTAGGAGGAAAAATCCTCCCCCAGCCACTTCTGCTGCTGGAGCAACCTCCTCTCCTGCATCAGCCTCTTCTTCAGCCACCATCTCTGACACCATCCCGAGTACGGTGGCTATTGATCCTGTTGTCAGCACCCCTGCTACCAACCCGAGCACATCTCCACAAATCACTACTACCCCTGCTGCCGCTGGGGGTGCTCGGGACAAAAAACGAGGCAAAAGGCCTTATCTTGACGGTGGAGTTAACCTTGAGGAGGAACCTCTTATAAGAAGGACCCGAGTCTCTGGGCCAAGCGCTTTCTTGCATCGCCCAGTCAGAGCTCCTGCCCCCTCCGGGCCTGTTGCAGCTGGTGCCTCTGCTTCAGCTTCAGCTTTTCCTTCTATTCCTGTTTTACCACCATAGGCTCCTCGGTACACCCGAATGGATGGGACGTTCGTGAAGCCGAACGAGACCATGTTAAAGGATGGCCAGACCGCCATGGCGTATTATAGGAGCATGTGGACTCCGAAAGACCTTGAGGCGGCGAAGGGTCTGTCCCAAAAGGATGTGTTCAGCCGCTTTCCCCAATCAGCCATGGAGGTGACTTTTATTTTCTAACTCATGAATCCTCTCATACTATTTGCTCTTGCCTTCGTCCGACCAGGCGATCAGTTTAACCAGTATTCATGTATATCTATGCAGACTTTGTTCGGTATGATGGCTATGCAGAAACAGGTGGAAATGGGGAACGCCAGGGCCCGTAAGTTCTCTGATAGCCTGGATGTGGCTAATAAGGAAAACGACCTTCTTGCCAGCAAGAACACCGAGATATTGGCTCGGCTTGAACAAACCGAAAAAGAAAGAGATGTTCTGAAGAAAGAAAACGACTCTCTTCAGGATGAAAAGGATGCCCTCCAGCTTGAGAAGAGTGTCTGGCAGACTGAACGTGATTCAATCAGAGATGAAAAGGCAGAGCTCCAGCGCCTTCTGGCTGATGAACAGTCTGCTCGGATGGCTTTTGAGAAACGCTCTGATTGATACCATCAGCAGAGTGAATGGTGGAATGTTGGCTCTTCATGCTTGATTCTCAAGAGTTGGAGCTCTTAGATATGCTTAGGGATTCCGAGATGGTTTCTCCGACCGAGTTCCGGCTGAGGGCCAGACCAGCTCAACTCCGGATGAGATTGATAAGGATTTAGGGATTGACCCTCTGGGGGTCTATGTTGACCCAGAACCCACCGAAGCCGAGCACATATTTGATGAATGTCAGGAGATTGCTTCCTCCAGGATCACTACAGCTCCTCATACCGTTCAGCCTCTAACCGCTCTTCATTCGTCAACTGTGGTATCTCCCATAGTCACTGCTGACGTTGGCCCCCAGCAGAACGGCTCTGTTATTCATCTTGATTCCCCACCTCGTGAGGGTGAGATGGCTGACGGGAACGAGGAGGCGGATCAGCACAACCAGGAGGCTGTCGGTACTGAGGCAGCTAGCTAGGACTCCTCCAGACTCTTCGATTCCATACTCTTTTGTAACTATGTGACTTGAATACTTCACTTTTTGTAACTTCAATGCTTATTATGAATGAGATGATAAAACTCTTTTTTCTCTTTTTTCTTTGTGCTACGTTCTGTTCAAACCCATTTTCAATATTTTTTCATATTAACTTTATCGTGTGCGTGTTTTTGGCAAGTGTCTGGCGTTCGGCTTATGGTGCCAGCTGCCACTTATCTTGCTTAAGTGCCTGACGCTCGGCTAGAATGCCACTTGCCACTTGGCTTTTCATTTTTTAGCAAGTGCCTGGCGTTCGGCTTATGGTGCCAGCTGCCACTTATCTTGCTTAAGTGCCTGGCGCTCGGCTAGAATGCCACTTGCCACTTGGCTTTTCATTTTTTAGCAAGTGCCTGGCGTTCGGCTTATGGTGCCAGCTGTCACTTATCTTGCTTAAGTGCCTGGCGCTCGGCTAGAATGCCACTTGCCACTTGGCTTTTCATTTTTTAGCAAGTGCCTGGCGTTCGGCTTATGGTGCCAGCTGCCACTTATCTTGCTTAAGTGTCTGGCGCTCGGCTAGAATGCCACTTGCCACTTGGCTTTTCGTTTTTTAGCAAGTGTCTGGCGTTCGGCTTATGGTGCCAGCTGCCACTTATCTTGCTTAAGTGCCTGGCACTCGGCTAGAATGCCACTTGCCACTTGGCTTTTCATTTTTTAAAACCCTTTGAAAAGGAAAGCTATTTTTATAAGTCTCAGGAATTTGCACATTCATACGTACTTGATTGAAAACAAACAACACCCAACAAAACTGAAACTTAGCTTTTATTGATAGTACCTCTTCAGAGACGTAGCATTCCAGGGCTTACTGACCAACCTTCCCGCCATGGTCTCTAATGTATATGCTCCCTTCCCTATGACCTCTGCAATTCTGTATGGGCCTTCCCAGGGTGGCATCATTTTTTTGACTATCCCCACCTTTCTTTTCAGAACCAGATCGCCAGGGGCAAAATCTCTGTGTTTCACTCTTTTGTTGTGACTATTCGCCAATACTTGCTGGTATGATGCTAACCTTATTGCTGCAGCATCCCTCTTTTCATCTATCATATCGAGGTTCAATCTTAACATTCTGTCGTTCTGATTTCGACTCTATGCTAAGCTTCTGATAGTTGGGACCAAGTGCTCAACCGGTATAACCGCCTTGGTACCATACGCCATTTCAAACGGGCTCTCCCCAGTCGGCCGCCTTGGGGTGGTTCTGTAAGCCCATAGGACGTTCGGGAGCTCATCTAACCACTTCCCTTTATGGTCCTCCAGCTTCTTCTTAATGCAGGCGAAAATTGTTCTGTTTGTAATTTCTACTTGTCCATTGGCCTGGGGATGACTTACTGCAGCCAACTTCTGATTAATTCCATACTCCTCCAGCAGCTCTCTTACTTGCTTGCTATCGAGGTTCGTGCCATTATCCATGACTATTGACCTTGGAACGCCGAAACGGCAGATAATATTGCTCCAGATAAATCGTCTCACATGAGTCTGAGTTACGCTTGGATATGGTTCTGCTTCCACCCACTTAGTGAAGTAATCCGTGGCCAGTAGTACATACTTGTTCTGAGCTCTTGCCGTTGGCAGAGGACCGACCACATCCATCCCCCATTGCGCGAAAGGCCATGGCGAGGCCATTACGTGCAATTCCTCAGGTGGTTGGTGGATCAATGGTCCATACCGTTGGCATTTATCGCACCTTCGAGAGAACTCCTCCACATCTCTTGACATGTTCGGCCAGAAATATCCTTGTGTCATTGCTTTATGCGCTAACGATCTTCCCCCAGAATGATTGCCACATACGCCTTCATGAATAGCTCGCAACACCTGCCGCGACTCTGTGGGGGTGACACACTTCAAGTATGGGCCAGAGTAGGACCTTCTGTACACCTGGTTATGCACGATGGCGTATTTTGCTGCATTCTTTTTGATTTTCCTAGCTTCATCCCTTTGCATAGGCAAAACGCCATCTCGAATATAAGTGATGATGGGGTCAATCCAACTCGGTTCATACGGTATGACATTGACTTGCCAAGGGTCAGAGTCCAAAGGTTCTTCAAAAATAGATGGCTGGGTCAGTATTCCTATTGGAATCACCCTCGCCAATGTCTCGCCAGAACTCGAAGCACTACATGTTAACCGGTCCGCATCTACGTTCTGTTCCCTCGGTAACTGTATGAATTCAATCTTTACAAAGTCCTTGGATTTATGCAGAATGGCAGAACGATATGCCTCCATCGTGTCATCCTTGGTCGCGTACTCACCATTTACCTGCCGAACAATCAACTGTGAGTCACTATAAACAGTCAAACTTCTGACCTGTAGCTCTCTGGCCAACTTTAACCCATTCAGCAACGCCTCGTATTCCGCTTCATTATTGGTGGCTCGGAACTCAAGTCTGAGTGCTTGACTCAAAGAAGTACCCTCTGGGGTTTGCAGTTTAACCCTAATTCCTACCCTCATCTGGTTAGAGGAGCCATCCACATAAAGTTTCCAAGAGCCGCATCTAAGGTCTTCTTCCGTATCCTCAGAGTCACATTCTAGCAGGAAATCGGTTACCGCTTATCCTTTGATAGTTGTTCTCGGCTAATACGTTATGTCAAATGAGCTTAACTCTATGGCCCACTTTGTCATTCTGCCCGAGAGTTCTGGCTTGTACATAAGCACTCTGATTGGAAAAGTTGTTAGAACAGCTATAGGGTGGGATTCGAAATAATGCCTCAACTTTCTTTTTGCGTTTACAAGTGAAAGTATCACTCGTTCGGCCTTCGAGTATCTTCGTTCTGCCTCGGTTATTGTTTTACTGACATAAAATACCGGGTGTTGCACCCCTTCCTTGCAACGAATCAGAACGGCACTTGTCGCAACACTAGATACTCCAAGATATAGAAATAACTTTTCTTCTGGATCCGGGGCTGACAGGACTAGTGGATTCTGCATATATTCCTTCAAATGGGTCAATGCTTGTCGTTGTTCATCTCCCCAGACCTGTGTTCCATGACTCCGGATCATGTCAAAGAACGGCTTGCAGCGATCTGACAACTTAGAAATGAATCGACTTAATGCAGCTATTCGTCATGTGAGGGCTTGCACCTCTCTGATCGTCTTTAGCTCGGCATTCTTAATCAAAGCCTCTGCTTGAGCGGGGCTAACTTCGATGCCTCTGCGGTTGACCACGTGTCCCAAAAACTGACCGGAACTCACACCGAACGAGCACTTGGTTGGATTGAGCCTCATCCCATATCGCCTCAGCACATCAAATACATCTTGCAGATGTTTCAGATGATCATCCTTCTTCCTACTCTTTACCACCATATCATCAATATAGGCTTCCACAATCTTTCTTATTTGATCCTTGAAAATTTTGCTAACAAGTCTTTGATAAGTTGCTCCCGCGTTCTTTAGTCCGAAAGGCATAACTTTGTAGTAGTATGTCCCTCGCTCGGTTACAAAAGAAGTTTTTTCTTCATCCGCCGGGTCCATAGGGATCTGATTATAACCTGAATAAGCGTCCAGAAAGGTTAAACGCTCATACCCGGTGGTGGCATCCACCATTTGATCAATCTTTGGCAGCGGGAAGCTATCCTTCGGACAGGCTTTGTTCAAATTGGTGAAATCAATTCATACTCGCCATTTCCCATTCTTCTTCTGCACGACAACGACGTTGGACAACCAATCAGGGTAGTGCACTTCTCTGATGAATCCCGCATCAAGCAGCCTATCAACTTCCTCGGCTATGATTTGGTTACGTTCTGGAGCAAATCTTCGTTGCTTCTGTTTTACTGGTTTGAAATTGGGATTGACATTCAAGGAATGACAGGATACGGAGGGATTAATTCCAGGCATGTCTAGGTGACTCCATGCAAATACATCGGCATTGTGAGACAAGAAGTCAATTAGCTCTTGCTGCTCTTCCCTGGTCAGTCTTACTCCTACTCTGGTAGTTTGCTCTGGCCTGGACTGATCGATCTGCACATCTAGAAGGGGCTCTTCGGTCAAGTCAACTGACTCCTCCACCCTATTCTGCTTGGGCGGAGGTTCCTGTAATTGCTATCTGGGGCTCGCCGAACGGACGGGCGCCTTCCCTTTCCCAGCATATTTTAGTGTGACGGAATAACACTCTTTGGCTGCAACCTGATCCGCACGAATGTCTATCACCTTATTTCCATCGGGTCCGAGGCACCTCATGACCTGATGCAGAGTTGAGGGTACACCTTGGACTCTGTGAATCCATCCTCTTCCCATCAGGAGATTGTACGAGGGGTGAATCTCCACAACCACAAAAGTTTCCATAAGAGCTCGTTCTGCAGCTTGAACTTTTACTTCCACCATTCTGACGGGCTCCACCCTCTTGCCATCGAATCCTAACAGGGGATTTCCAGTGGGCTTGAGCCTCTCTGGTTTAATCTTGAGCCGATCAAATGTGTCCCTCGGCATGACATTCGCACTACTTCCAGGATCGATCAGAACTCTGCGCACCAGGCAGTCCGCCATTGTCAAGCTG